AGGCTCGAGATTGTATCATGCCCCCCTTAAAATTACCAATGAGTTTTTTGGTTTACGATTTATGACGGACTTTTCTCAGGCCATCGACAGTGATGAGGCCTTTCATGTAATATGAGCAGATTTTACTTGCCCCTTACGTTAGCTTTGCTTGCTTTGTTGCTCGCTGCCGTCTTCCAGAGACGAGGGGAGATGGGGGTTTGAGAATGGAGGGGAGATTGAGTGACCAAATTGGGTATCAGAACACGCAACACATCACTACACAACACCATATGACACTGCACGGTTCGGTTTTTGCGAGATCTGGTTTTCACTGGTATAGAGTTCGCCCCTCTCTCGTACAGTATTCTTAGGGATAGAAATACACCCATCAAGCACTGGTTCTCAACCTTGACGTGTGACTGTGATTGTAGGCTTACTTTCGTCCGAACTATGCAAGGATTACATGAGGTAGATGATATTCGTTTGTCAGCTATTGGGTGGCAACTTTGCGCGTTACCGTAAGCAGGAGTCGGTCTAGATGCTTGGTGAAACTCGACTTGAAGGCCATCTTGTCCTACCATGTTGAGGCCAGCTTAAGCATGAGTCTAGATCAGATTTATCTGAATAATCAACTACAGCTTCCCGTACTTGCCGGATCCCCCTCTACAAAGCCCGGGTGATCAACTTGTCCAAGAGTGGGTGTACTCGATGCTTGGGCAAGTTGTGCCATCAACGGTGAAAGTGGCAGGTTTGTTTTTAGATCACGGGTCAGTCTGAACTGGCGGTAATCCAGAAGGTCGAGAAATACAATGACTATCATTGATCAGTAGAGGGTCTGACAGTGGCTACCAATCCAGATCTCAACGGGGGGCACGGAGTAGCACACTCTACAGTCGGGCAACTCATGTCGCCCATGCCTCACCAAGACGTTTGCTTTTCTTTTTGCTATGTTTGTACTTTGGCTGTACTTTCATGCTCGTGGTATCTTTGTACATCACATGTTTTGATGGGAGACTCGCTGTCGTTATCATCTCGACCATGGACTAGAACGTCAACGGGTAGCTCAACTTCCACTTAAGCCCTTTATCGCCAAAAGCACGAGTTCTGACCATATTTCCGGTGATATCATATGTTGTAGGCCATTTAGAAATTCCCTTTAGCTTTGGATCGCCAGGTTTTGACTTTTTGGTGTTGAGCCCAACCTGTCCCTCGATGCTAGAGCACGGTTACAACTGTCATGCGTGACAACAACAAAGTCTATATTGACCTCTGTGCTGTTATTAGTTCAGCGATCGAGTTACATATGTGTAGTCATGGGGCTCCTGGGACTGAGTGTGTTTTCTGTCGTGCTCATTACTCGAGACCTGGCTCCTAGGACCCGGCTTGTTGAGCTCGCTGCAACCCTCAACCCTTCCTGGTCGTCTTCACTCTAGGTTGATCACGAGGACACCCGGGCTTGCATTTCAAAGCCAGTCCCTAAGTTTACTGTCGGTTTCTTGAACTCACACATTCATCAACAGGCAAGGTTTATTTCTGTTGGTTATGTCTAATTGTCTTGCTACCGACATACCACCGACACGACACTCGTCATTTTCGTAACGGAAATCTGACTCCGTGACTGTATACTTTGACACCCGCGTGCTCAACGACAGACGTTTCTCTTCCTTGTATGAGAACTGTTCATTAGGTTTTTTTATGGTGTTGGTAGGGTGTTGACAAATCCATGTGTGCAGGATTCGCCTTGAAAATAACAACTCAACCATCAATGCTTCAGCACCGCTTATGACTGGAAAGACTAAGCATTATTCAGATGAATCACAAAGATGGAATCGAAATATACAGAGTAAAATACATACTAAATATTTCTTGTTCATAATGGCAACAATCTATCGCCCTGGGTTTCTCGACATGATGGTCTAGGGTAGCAAAGTGGAGTCGTGCAATTTCGGTCCCATTGCGCGAAGGCCAAGATCCATGAATGTTCATCCCTCACGCGTTCTCAACTTCCAGCAGCAACACGCGCAAAATGTGCGGCATTCACGCCGTCATCTCATCCAACGCTAGCGATCGAATTTCTCCTGGACTGGAGCGATGTCTCATCAACCGAGGACCAGATCATACAGGAACTGTACAGGCTCAGATCGACGGTAGTGAACCCAACCAAGCTGGCCTTTTCTTGACATTTACGTCGACCGTACTGTCGCTACGAGGAGATCACATTGCTAAGCAGCCACTCACCGATCCTACTTCTGGGTCGGTCCTCTGCTGGAATGGCGAGGCATGGGGTATTCGAGGAGAACCGGTTCAAGGCAATGACGGCGAAGCAGTCCTCGCCCTGTTAGCTGAGGCAAGCCGTAGTGCGGCACACACGCCAGGCCAGATCCTCGATGTCTTGCGAGCCATAGAAGGGCCTTTCGCTTTTATCTACCTGGACAAACCGGCGAAGCGGCTCTATTATGGGCGTGACCGCCTGGGCCGTCGGTCACTGCTCATCAAAGAGGGGATGCCATTTGCCCTGTCGAGCATCGCTGAGACGCCCGTCGAAGGATGGAGCGAGGTTGAGGCTGATGGATGCTATACTATTGAGCTTGGAGAGGCTGCGGCTAGCGGAATGGTACCTGTGCGACATGACTGGACACCAGACATATCCATGGTGAGTCATGTGTGAGTATACGCCCCGAAAAGCCTGCTACTTACGTCTCCAGGTCTCGAGCATCGGCGTCTTCAATGAAGAGGTCCCTCAGCAAGCTACCAGACTTGCTCCGGACTCAGTATCTGTGCAGGACCTACATTCGCATCTCGTCGAGTCACTCAAACTTCGAGTCCTGGACGTGCCACTGCCACCAAAGGCATCTCATACTGATGCAAGAGTTGCGGTGCTGTTCTCGGGAGGTCTCGACTGCACTGTGCTTGCGCGACTTGCTCATGATCTTATCCCCCTTGACCAGTCCATCGACCTGATCAATGTGGCGTTTGAGAACCCCAGAATAGCTGCTCAGTTCCCAGGATGTTCTCGAGATGATCTCTATGAGAAGTGCCCTGACCGGTTGACGGGACGGAGTGCCTTTGCAGAGCTCAGTCGAGTTTGTCCTGAGAGGAACTGGCGGTTTGTAGCAGTATGACTATCTTGACCCTCTGGCATTTTGTTTATTGACCACCACAGGCGAACGTGCCATATACAGAGAATCTCGAGCACAGAGCCGATATTATCAGGCTCATATACCCCCACAACACAGAGATGGACCTGTCGATTGCGTGCGCGCTGTACTTTGCCGCCAGAGGACAGGGACTAAGCGAGACGATAGGCGAGCCAACGCCACAGCAGTACAGCACAACCGCGCGCGTATTGCTGTCCGGGCTGGGCGCCGACGAGCTGTTTGGTGGATATGGCCGACATGGCGTAGCGTACACGCAGCGCGGCTACTCAGGCCTTGTCCAGGAGCTGAAACTGGACGTGGGCCGTTTGGGAAAGCGAAATCTCGGACGTGATGACCGGGTTATGGCACACTGGGGCCGAGAAGTGAGGTTCCCGTTCCTGGACGAGCGATTTGTCAAGTGGGCAATCGAATGTCCTGTATGGGAGAAGTGTGACTTTGAGAACAGCAGCGGCGAAGGATCTCTGGACGCAGAGAAACGAGTGCTGCGACTGGTAGCCCAGTCTCTTGGCATGAGCACGGTCTCGCGGGAGAAGAAGAGGGCGGTAAGTGCACGGCCGATTGTTCTGTTTCCATGTGTATTGACAAGCTTGGCTAGATACAATTCGGGGCTCGGACGGCCAAGATGGAGAGTAGCAAGGTCAAGGGGACGACGCTGTTGTCTACTTGAAGTCGGGCAGTCGAGTGACTGCAAAGAAGAGCAAGGAACTCGGCAGTGATGATTCTCAGATACTTCCGAGGCAATTGCAAACCATGGGCCAACACGAGGTGGGCGAGTGTGTGTTTGCTGGCTAGTACAGCTAACCCTCCGCTAGTCTGGTGTTTTATTGCATGGGCATTGCCAATGAAGTCGTAAAGGCAAGTCTGAGCCGAGCAGGATGGATGATTAGACATTATAGCGTGGTGTTTTGCAGGTAGATGGGGGAGTAATAAGACAAAATTCAGGTACAAGGGCAAGTTTCGCTCAGATATCACCTCACTTGGATGCATGACAGTTGTAGGGGACGTCAATGGATGTCAATCAATGGACGGTAGCCATGTGTTTTGTGTGTGTAGGTGTGCGCCCCTTGCATTGTAACCTGAGACGCATCATGTGGTGTTGAGGGGGGAGGGAGCCAGTGAGAGACTGTAACTCTTGGCAGCTCGTGCTGACAGGGGAAGCTTGGCAGGCGAGACAAAAACACGTGCGATAAGAATGAACAGACCGAATTGGATCAGGCATGACATTGTTTTGATAGAAACAAAACAGACAAGTCGATTGAAGCGGTAAGGGGTGACCAAATATAGAGTAGAGCTGGCTATCTAGAGTATCAAATGGCGGTGGTCAACTGAAAATAGTGGCTTGAGTGGTGCGACATGCCCCTGCCTCTTTCTGCTGCTCCTGCCTGCTCCTGCCTTGATGCTGGGCGTTTATCGCATCGATACGAGGAGGAAGGAGCTCCGGCGCTTCCACTCGCTGGCTGTCAGTGTCGGAGAGTTGCCGTCTTGTCCCGTTCTTGACCTTTCCCCGTCTTTTGCGCGCGCCAAAAATTGTCGATAATGGATCGATGAATCGATTGATTCTTTGCTGCCTCTTTTTTTTTTTCTTTCTCTTTTTATTGTTCCGTTCGTTCTCTTTTTGAGGATATTCTTTCGTTTCCTCCTTCTCTCGTTATTTATCCCGTTCATTTCAATTGATTCTAGCGCTCATTCATTCTCCGCTGTTTCTTTTTTGCCTCTTTTGATCAACACCATCTTTTTTGTTACTATTTCCATCTTTTGATCCTATTCGCATCCTTCGGCACACGTCACAACACCGATACGAGGCCTCTCAATGCTTCACTGAAACACACACACTTCTACACTTCTACATTACTATACCCCTCTATGTTCGGCTTCATCCAGGTCAGGGACCGGGATTCCTCTTCTACAAACGCCAGCCTGTCCGCGACAGGTATCAGCATCTTCAACCACCTAGAATCTGACGACGACGCCATGCGCAAGGGAAATCGCCCTCCGCCGCTGAACCTCAGCATCGTGACCCGGCCGAGGTCACTGCCCCGGGTATCCAGGACACCCGTGCTCCTGGCAAAGGAGCTCACGCCCCTGCTGACTCCCCTTCCTGAGGAAGAGGTCGAGGAGGACCCGCAGGGCCCGGTGGTTCGCGCCGTGAGGATATCTGTCGATTTCCTGCAGGTTGTTTCATGCATGCTGGTGATGTTGATGCTGGGCATCTTCATGGCATCGTACGCGGGGGCTGCATCGTCAAGTTATGGGTAAGTTGGGAGCCTGATGGGAGGGATAGCCTAGAGAGGTAGAAGACAAGTCAGAACAAGATCACTAACCTTGAGGGAACTGTAGAATCAGAGCCTCGATACTCATGGCAGCATTGGCCTGCGATGTCGGCCTCGGCATCTGCTCTATCCGCTTCTACGATCAGCCATGGCCCCGCGTCGCTGTGGTGCTCCGGATGCTCACCGCGGCGGTCCTCGTTGGGAGCCTAGTAGGCTTTGTTGCAGCGGAAAGAGTGTTTCCGGCAGACTACACGTACTGGAACTTGGCATCCTCGCAATCCGGCGGGCCGGTGTTGGGTCTTGTCTCTGCAATTCTGTAAGTCTCAGCTTGAGCCCATCATATCCCAGTCTCTTGTGCTCTCCACAACAGCGGGAAAGACATTTTTTTCTTGTGTAAAGTTTGTTGACTGACTCGGCGATAGGGGTTGGGACCTGGTCCATGTTTTGTTGTCTCAGCGGATCGTCGGCTGTTGGTTGTGGATGCAGTGCTGGTGGCAACGGCTGCGGATGAGGCGGCGGTGCATGACAGCTGGAGCTCGGGGACGGGCGAGGAAGATGGTTGGCGGGCCCTGGTGGTCCGCCTCACGATCCCGACGAACGGCAGCCGAGTCGAAACGAGGCTGGAGCTGTTCGTTGTAAGGTATCTAGGATGGACAGATGAGAAGCGGAAGATGAGATGGAGCATGGAGCAACGGAAGCGCTCCCTCTGATATTAAGGTTCCACGTCAAACCTCGTATCCCTCTCTGGGCATATTCTTTTTTTTTTTTTTTAATCATCACGACGACTGTGTCGATGGAGGATGGGGCATTTACATTACATGAGTGACATGGACATTCAGATGCCCAGTCAAAGTGGATGAGCAAGACTCTGTTACATACTGGAGGGGGATACACGAGATGCTTTTCCTGGTAGGGGGGAAAGACGGAGGGCAGACGGACCCATGGGGAAAGTAATGACCCGTAGAGATGCATTCATGATAGAGAAATTTCACTCTTGGGGTTGCAACGTTGAATGCTGGGATTGTTACTATGGATGTTGGTGATGGTGAATGATAGGACGACAAAGAGGCTTTTTGATTAGTGCGTATGCGTGTCTGAGACCACGTCTTGGGCAGGGGGGGCTCTTCTTTTCTTCTTGGCCCCCTTCTCTCACCCTTCTGTGTGGACTAGAACTTTGCTTTTTCTTGTAAGAGTAGCATTGTCTCTGATTGCGTGGTAGTATTTTTTCTCTCTGTCATTCTTCCATGCCGAAAAGTGCCGTAACGGTCAAATTGCCGGTCAATGTCATCCTGCTCGACATGGGCAAATGCCGTGTGTGCAGGCCCAGGGGCTGGTGAACTTTTCTTTTTGCCTCGTGGCGTGTGTTGCCCTTGCTTTGAGATGATGTCTCCATTTTGATGGGTATGAATATCCTTTCTTGTCCGGGAAGAGTAAAAAGATGTATTGTTGCCCTGTGGTTATTAACTGCATTCTACGAGTACTGCGTCCTTGGTCTTTTGATCGTGCAGGACATTGTATATCTTGCATGCTGAGAATCTTGTTTCTATGGAACTGGGGATATTGCTGCTTGAGTTATGATGCTTGCTGTGTGTTGGTTGTGTCGTGTTTGCTGGGAATGGGTGCAGGGCGTCTTGCAGTAGACGGCGGGAAAAGGTGGAAACAACTGTCCCAAACAGGGCATCGATTGCCATTCTGGGAGCAATCAGATCATGGTTTGGCGAGTGTCGATCACCCGAGAATACAGGGGTAAAAGTGACCGTCTAGGTACTGAGCTGAGGGCTGAGGGAGAGAGTGAAAAAGAGACCCATATCGACAAAGTGATAGTTGACAGGCTGTTGGTAAGACCGTCCAGGGCTGCTTGGCACATGACCTTCTGAGGTAGCAACGTTAGTAGGCTTAGAAAGTTCCCTTGCCTCTTGCTTTTTGCCCTGAACTTGACATTTACCAAATCAGTTCCGCCCTCTCGTTAATTAACGAGCTGTCTTGATGGTCTGTCTGTGTGTTTGTCCGGACACGTTGAAACGCGACGCTAAAACAAAACAAGACACTCTAATAGGACAAAACAACGAACCACGTCCTATGTTGGAAACAATAGATTCAACACCAGGGAGAAACATGAATGCCAAAGCGTCACCGCTGCCACCAACGGTCAACCTACCGTAGTTTTCATGCTGGACGTTTAGACTGGCCACCCTAGAGATCGAGCGCCCTCCAAGATAATCAGCTACCGCATGTAGGACAGCATGGGGCCCCTTTCCTTGGCGTACATCGGAGCTTGTCCATCCCGTGGCCACAAAAAAGAGGTTTAGGTCGAACCTGAGCCCCTTGAGGCTGCTGGAAAGCTTCTGTGATGCTCCACCTGTTGCACGCCGGCTCCGCTCGCTGTACCTGAGGCGACGGGAGGCGGCCCCAGCCTTAGCTTAGACCACCTGGTGACTCGATCCTGCATGGAGAGAGTGAGAGTGAAAGAGAGAGGCCGGCGCTATCGTGAGCATGTTGGGACAAATCAGAGGCTGCATCTACTAGATCCGATGAGTCGTGGAGAGACATGGCTAGCTGGGTAAACAACTAATGTTGACTAGAATGTGAATAACCTCACTCAAGATGGCAAAGATTTGCACGCCTCGACGACTTCCACAGGCGCGACTTCCGACGACCTCAAAGCTATACGGATGTCTCTCTTGTACGGACAGTAAAGCTCATTGGGCCGAAGTGACGGGTCGCCCGTTTTACGAGCTGTCAATTGCCAAACGGAGCTAAGAACGGCTGGGACATGCAAGTAAGTCATTGATTCAGAGTAGGTGTGAGCGGGAAGACTCCATCAACGGGTCTTGGCTAATTATTCACACACGCCCCCCTTTTGCAGCCCGTCAATGTGCGGCCTTGTTAGCTTACGGTACGGCATCTCAGGAGAAGGGAAACCGATGGCAATTGAAACCGTGTTCGTCATAGACTGGACTTCGGTACTTGTTCAATTGGCTGTCCTTTTCTTCCCCACGTTTAATGTTTGAGGCGACCAAAAGCTAGCTGAGACAATGAGCAAAGCAAGGAACGAGAGAGACACGAAAACTTGTTGACTCGACTCGTGGCTTTGTCTATCGTTCTGTCTAGTAGCCTCGCAGCTTGGCAGGGCATTTTTTTTAAATTTTTTTTTTCGTCCTGTCGATCTGCCAAAGTCAAGAGCCTTTCACCCCTTGTTTATTGCAGAGTATCATTCTTCTACTGGAAATAGACTCGCTGCAATGTAATCCTTCAGAAAGACATGTTGTTCCTGCGCATGGGAGTATGGTCACTTCCGAAATGGGCCATGACACGGTCCAGAACCTGAATCCTTCGGGAAACGGAACTCGCGCGTCGACTGTTCCTGAAACGAAACTTTTATCGGGTTAAGATTGGACAAGACTCAAAGGTAAACGCTTTCAGGGACTGGAAAGTAAAAAGAGACTGGGGTTGTCGGGGTCCCGCTGCGGCCCGAGGTCCTTTGTTATCCACCGCCCACCACCACCCGCCGCCCGCGACGCCGAAATCCGAACGAACCGGTTGACACTCTCTAACTTTTGTTTCCTCAGTTTGTTTGCTCTGTCACTGGGAAAATCCTGTAAGCTACCCTTGTCCCTTGCCCAGAGTTAGACTGGCAGCAACTGCCGGACAGGGTGTAGAGAACAAGTCTACGTCTTGGCCCCAGCTTACAACACACACGCCCTTCAACAGAAAGAGTGATCGTCAAAGAATCGAACAACAGAAAAAAAACCTGGTCCTTGTTGCATATGGATTAACACCCCTTATTTGGATAGTTGTCAACACCTTTACGGACATCCTCTTGCCTGACCGAGATGGGCCCCCCCGTCGACGATCCCCTCCCCCCCTTCTTCACTTGCGGTAGGGCTGCTTCTTGTACTCGGTAGGACACTTCCGAACTGCTACGACAGATTCCTTGTTTCTTTCAGCTTTGAGAGAGTGTAAGTGTAACAGGTGAACCGAAACATTGGCAGAGATAGTAGAACCAATAAACCTAAAAAAAAAAAGTGATATCACAGAGTTTACTAGAGTCCAACGTTGGGTTCAAAGGGAGGTGACGCTCCTGTCTCACTAGCCGGACCTTGGAAAAAAAAAGCACAGAGACCAAGGATGTAAGTTACCGCGGGTAATCTTGTTCAAGTAGACTCTCTTGTGGGGGAAACAAAACAATGCATTGGTTCGACTTACATGGGGTGTGGGCATGTCAAGAGACAAACCACGGACTCGAACCTCCTGCGGATCACGGGAGATTGGCACTCGAGCAGACTTTGTTGAGGACTACGGTGAGAGTGTGTGAGTTGTCAGTCCAGCCCCCTTCGGAAAGAGAGACTTGTACGCTTCTCACGATGGTCGATCTCGAGTATATATAGAGCTTCATCTTCCCCTCCATATCACCACTTCTTCTTCATCAGCATCAGCATCTCATCTCCTGCTCTTCACTTCCCTTCACTTTCTCTCACAGCAACCCAACCAAGCACTCGCTTTCACTCACTCTAATTAACTCCTCTTCACCATGTTCTTCTCCAAGATCGTTCTCGGCCTCGCCTCCATGGCCTCCATGGTCGCCGCCATCCCGGCCCCTGACGCCCTCCTCGATACCACTTCTTCCATCGCCGCCCGCGACTTCACCATCCGCGATGACTCCTCTCTCGAGGCTCGTGGCAACTTCAAGTGCCCTACTGGCATGTCCTACTGCCCCTGGACCCGTGCCTGCTCTTGTCCCCCTGGCCAGGCCTGGGATGGCAAGGCCCGCAAGTGCACTGGCAAGACCATCACCGGCTGCTGGCCCAAGCCTTCGCCTTCGGCCTTTGTCGATGTCAAGGTGAAGCTCGGCGCTTACTGCGCTAGCTCTCCCTACAAGATCGTCAAGTATGACGCCCACCACGCCTACTGCCAGGCCAGCCTCCTCAACGTCGTCTTTCTCGCTCCTCTCGAGATTGACGCCGAGATCTCTCTCCTTGGTGGTAAGCTCATCGACATCAACGCCCGCATCAGCCTCGCTCTTAAGAACGTCTGCGGTGGTCTCGCCGGTCTCTACCTCGAGAACGTTCTCGATGCTGTTGCCCTCTTCAACACCAACAAGTACGGCTACGCTGTCCGCCCCGGTGATGTTGTCGGTGGCCTTCTCTACGCTGTTGTCGACCTCCTGAGCGGCCTCACCTGCGCCCTCGGCCTCGGTGGCTGCAAGGTCTATGACTGTGTCTCTTACTGCACCAAGGGCTGCAAGAACTACATCGACGTCAAGGGAACCATTGGTGGCTACATCAACGGCCTCATCGGTTTCTGCCTTGTCAACGATGTCATCCTCATCGTCAACAAGGTCGGCGCCATCCTCACCGTCACCGTCAACAGCCTGCTGTGCATTGTTGGCAGCCTTCTCCGCAGCCTCCTCGGCATCTTCAACTGCAACTGTGCTTAAGCGCCCGGTCTTTCAAGTCAAGAACCGAGTGTTTGCACTTGAAACATACTTACACTCACTAAAATTGGATATAAGGAGATGGGATGAGCTATGATTGGCATTATTAACTTGGAGGATTTCATTCTTTACAATATTTGGGCTTCTACTAGGTTGCCTTAATCTTTTTCATTAATAACTGTACATGAGTGCACGTAAACAATATAACATGGGTTGTTTTGAGAATCTTGCTTCATTGAGTGATTGCAGCGATTGCAGTAGAGTGAAACTCGGAAATTACATCTCTGAGGAACTAGCCTGGGTAAAAAGAACTCCTCAATTCCATTACAAAACTCCTGGGTATTGATATCGACCTGATATCGACAGTTTGTAATGCCAACAACCTATTGATACACAATCTTCCAAGTAAGCCCTCTACACACTTGACTCATGCCCCCACTGGCTCCATGATCTGTTTACCAAACCCATCCACTGAGAAATGGCTAAAAGACTCTTCATCATTCTCGTCCATTAGGAGACTCCTGTCCTCTGTCTCTGGAACCAACTTTGCGTACAATCCCTCACCAGCCCTTGCCCACGTCGGCGGTAGAATATCCTCATCGTCCTCTGGCGCTGTTGTGATGACTTCAATAACGCGTGTGCGCTTTAGTATCTTCTTGGTGGTCTTGTGCTTTGACCTTGCTTTGCTACTTATAATAACATGACCGTGCCGTGGTTTTTCTTCATGCTTTGATGATTTGTGAACGCGAAAGGGGGTTGCTAACTGAGCCTCCCAGTCTGGTGAATCAAATATGGGTAGGTCAGGGTGTCTTTTCGACACAGACACAAGGATGTCGACAAGGAGGTTAGGCTTGAGCTGGTCACATAGAGAGAGGACATTCAGAAGATCAGTCTTGCGCATCTGGTCAAAGTACTCGGTCCGCTTTGCTGCAGTGTTAGCGTTGATACTCTCTGCAACAGCTGCAAGAGCTTGACTTACTAATGAGTCTGGAGCGCGCCCTGCGCCGAACCCGACGAGTCCAGGCTTTGCGGGAACGACACCCCTTGGGAGAGCGGCCAGACGCTTCTGGCGAAGCTTCTCGACCTCATACTGCCGCTGCTGGCTCGATTTTCCCTTGAACCTGACCGCCTGTTCTTGACCTGCAGAGCATGCAGCACAGACGAATATCGAGCCAGCCATGGCCTCACTGGTGATCGTGGGAGAGTGACACTGATGATGCCAGGACCTGAGACACTGCGTGCACGTAGCCAAAGGGCCCTGGCTCGTCTGCGCAGACCCCTCGCATTTCGAGCACTGAGCCGGCTGCACCGTGAGCCGAGACTGAAGACTTGGCTGGGGAGCATCTGTCCCCTTTGCCACCGGGAAGGCGACTGTGCTTTGCGTAAAGTCAACCTTTTCCATCGATGACTCTCTCTTTCTCTTGGTCCCGGCGTTGGACGAGCTCCACGCGGCTGAAGTTGGATTCGCTGACATGGGCAGAGTCTGGAGGAGGGGCGATGCCGACGGCACAGGCAGAGTTGCATCCGGATCGTGAGCCACTGCCGTCCTTAATTTTTCGAGTGTGTTTTCTTGGCGGCTGCTCTTTATGCGGTCCATGATGATGGAGGCGTTGGATGAGAACTGGGGGGTGTACGAGGCTTGATCTGGTGAGAGCAGCCTCAGAGAGGCGCCGGCTTCTGCAGATGTATCACCGTTGCGCATGTCGTGATCGGCAGATTCGATACCTCCCACCATGACTTGATCTTGTAACCCATCCATCTTGTCGAGATGTTGAACCGCGTCGACTGATGAGGCCTGCCAGCTCCTATTCGCGAGCCAATGACCTGGCGTGCTGAGGAAGGCGTCGGCGCTGAATGTTGAAGCTAGATGAAGACTGAGAGAACAATGAAACAGAAACAATTGAGAATTGACCAAAAGAATTTTTTAAAAACCTGTTGCGCAAAAGTTGGCTCTGACGGGGAATTGAAGTCGATGGCATCTGAGCTCAAAGTGAGATGTCGCGATAAACTTCACGTGGGGTCACGTGAGTTCACTCGATTGAGAAGGCTTTGCAATTGTTCTTCCTTGGGGCAATTTATATGCCCTTGAATATTATTTTATTCATTCACATATTTCCTCTATTCTTTTTCTATGCACGCTTTATCCGACAACGCCCTTTTCTCTCAATGAGATGACATCGGCTTCACTCAGGCCGAGATGCTCCTGGAGCACTTCATCCGTGTGCTGACCCAAAGTTGGCGGCACACTTCGAATCGTGGGAGGGGTTTCTGATAGCTTGATGGGTGTGTTGACCATCTTGATGGGACCGCACTCTTGATGATCCATCTCGACAACCATATTGCGTGCCTTTGTGTGCTCGTGGTTGAGCGTCCCTTGCACATCGTTGATGGCGGCGTAGGGCATGCCCTTTCCTTCAAATATCTCGAGCCACTCCTGTGTTGTCTTGAGCTTGGTAAGCGCCTCGATCTTGGCTTCGAGGTCTTTGCGGTTGGCGACCCTATCGGCATTGGTCTTGTAACGCGTGTCGTCCTTCCAGTGGGATTGGCCGAGCCCGTCACACAAGACGCCGAATAGCCGATCGTTACCTCCTCCAAAGAGGATTCCTCCGTCCTTGGTTTCAAACGACTTGTATGGCACAATCGAAGCTATTCCAGTTAGCAACTCGCGCTTCAAATCCATAACCAGACTCACGATGGGCCGTGCCCCAACGACCGGAATCCTTCTTTCCGCTGATTAGACAGCTACTGGCGATGTTGGCCAAGGTAGCAGTCTGGCAGTCACTCAACGCAACGTCAATGTGCTGGCCCTTGCCAGACTTGGCCCTTCCGAGGAGCGCAGCCATGATGCTGTTGCTAGTATAGAGACCGGTTGTTAGGTCAGTCACCGCAACACCAACCTTGACTGGTGGACCATCCCGTTCACCGGTAATGTGCATCAAACCAAACTCAGCCTCGACCATCACGTCGTAGCCGGCTCGGTTGGCGTACGGACCCGTTTGGCCATAGCCGGTGATGGAAGCATAGATCAATGCTGGGTTGATCTTGCGAAGAGTCTCATAGTCCATCGAGTACTTCTTCAGAGTCCCCGGAAGGTAGTTTTCAACCAGAACGTCGCATTTTGCTGCTAGCTTGTGGAGAACCTCGACTCCCTCCTTGTGCTGAAAAGACAGGCCTAGAGACTTTTTGTTTCGGTTCGCCTGGAGAAGGATGAGCATCCAAACTTGATCACAGGGGATTCTCAACATACCCCGAGGAAATAAGCAGACTCGCCAGGTCCCTTAGCCGATGAACCCTCCTTGTACTTGGCATATGGAGGCCCCCATGCCCTGGTGTCATCGCCTCGAACAGGGTGCTCAATTTTGATCACCTCAGCGCTGTGCGGTTGGCCAAGTTAACGCCTGGCCAGGGTCTTGATGACATCCAAATCCTCCCAAACTCACCCAAGGTCACCCAAAATCTGAGTACAGTATGGCTGTGACGGTCAGCGCTTGCTGGGGGTAACGAGATTGCGGATAAGAAAACTCACACCGGCCAACACTCTTGTCATGTCTAGCACGCGAATGCCCTCAAGCGGAAGACCGGTTCCCACGGCGCTCGAGTACCGACGGACGCGCAGCAAGCCATTGAGAGGCTTGGAGCGCAGGGATCTGGCGGCAGTGAACAGGCTCATGGTCCACGAGGCTAGAAGGTGTTCAGAGGCGGTGCAAACAGAAGTTCTTCAAAGAAAAGAGAACCAGAGGGAAATTGAGGTCAATTAATAAGATTGAAGCGATCGAGACGTTTACACCGGAGCCGGAACAGGAGCCGGAACTCGAGTTGATCTTGGCGGTTATGAGCGGCGGGGATTCGGGGCTCCTCGGCATGCGATAGTGTTAACCCGCGCCGGGCGATCAAGCGTCAAGTCTTCGGTGCCGAGTCAATCTTGCCGTTGATGAGTGTCATCGGCTCCGAAAGAGTTGCTGTGAGAAAAGGTAGACATTTCGGAGCCGGTGTAACAATCGCCAGCCGCATCACAATCATGGGATGGGTTCAAGTTGAACATTGATTGAGCCACGACGGGAAAGATGAGAATATCGCCGCGAAGAAAGTGCCGATTGAAGCGAGTGTGTCGCGAATTCACGCTGGCTTGCGTTGCATTGTGGGCGCAGCAGAGCAAAAAATCTGGGGGGTCGTCGATCATCCATAGCGGCTGAGGCTGCTTGCGATGGGCATCAGCCCCCTAACAACCTATGGAATCAAGCAAGGCATTCATCATCGCGCAGCCAAATTCAGGGTTCAATTCGGGCTTTCAATAACAAAGGATCGATATACATCCCTTGCATGAAACATTTACAAACGGCCCGAGACACACCGACTTGGAAAGAAGAAGAAGGCATCTGTTGAGTTGGCTTTTTGTTCTCTTGTATCGAGCAAGTCCTTGCTTACAGCAATGCCCTGTCCTCCAGGCGGACCGTGCCAACCGGGGCCTGCTAGAATGTCGGCTGTGTACAGTAGAGCCATTCCATTTCCATTCCCATCCCATGCAATGCATCCATTTATGGCCATGGATGCGATTGCAGCATCTCCCCGTCCCGAACATGCTGTTCTGAAACAATCTTCTCTGGGTCATTAGTTAAAGTAGGACGACTTGGGCGTTGTTGGTCGTGATCCAGGCGTTGACATAGCCTCCACCGGCTTCTCGTATTGGGCATCGTGAAGCTTCTCTTTTTTTACGCCTCTGGCTGTCGAACCACCCCCTGCTCGTGCTTGCTTTCCGGCTTTGGCCAATCCGCGCCTCAGCCTCCCTTGGCGATCTATCACACTGCAAGCCCCAGGCCCGCATGAGGCTGTATCGGAGGACTCCCAGAGCGAGCGCCATTCTCAGCTGTCTCCCCCCAGACCAGACCTCAGCTGCTCCTTTCGCAGCCTAACCCTTTTGTCGCATTGACAGCGAGGCGAGGATCCCTTGTTCTCCTAGGCCTTACTCTCGTTGGCGATAGGGTTCTTGATCCGTCATTACACACCGACCTAGGACGGCATATGTACGTCTACTCAAGCCCTGGCTGGACTCTGAAGCCAATTATAGAAACTGACAAATGAGCCGCCCGCCGTGCGCCCACCCTCCCGTCCTTCTCCCGTGTCCCTCTCCGTGGACGGTCGGAAGATTAAGGTATAGTGCTTTTGATAACCCAGTTACGTGGCATTGCGCGGCTTGTATCCGTTGCATGTTGGTTCCCCATTGCCCAGGATCATGGTTCTCGTTCCCCAGGATTCCCCCACCTCTGTGGTGTCGCAGACATACATAATACGGGCCTTGTCTGCCCTCGTTGTTGGAGGGAGGACTTTTTCCATGAAAATGTCATCGTTCTTTCGTATCTCTCTCGTTTCATTTGTTTTGTCACCATCGCCGTCATGGCTATTCTATCATACCTCTACTCGTGGGTGAAGCCGCGACAAAGTCGGCAGGACGAACAGTCCAAGACATTCACCTTTATCGGAAAGAAGAAGCGCACAAAGTCAGACCTCCCAAAGGTCGACGAGGAGGAGGATCACCAACGCCAGATCATGATTCGCAAGTCATTACAGAGCCGCGCCTCGTCGCGTGCCACCGACAGGGTGGAATTCGAAGACGGCGATACCGAAGAGGAGGAACGCAACCCGGGCCTGAAGAGCGACTGGAAAGCCTACGAGGCCGATATCCAGCGCAACAGGTCGAAGCTGATGCGCATCCATCCCGGAGTTGATCGCTCACGAGCCCGCGCCGGCTCCTCATCGAAGCGACCTCAACCCTACCCTTCAAGCTCAGCAAATCCCCAATCACCGACATTATCAATTACACCTGAGAGCCCAGCTTCACCGGGGATCGGAAGAGCATTTTAATACCCATACAAACAAAACAAAACCCATGATTATACGAGACAGAAGGAACGGATTACAGATTACGATCCCGTGTCATTTGGATTGCGCAAGGAGTTGGATATACCACATGGCTACGCGCCGACACAGAGACGACTTCAAGATTGACGTCTTCATACTCATGTCAGAGGCATAATGTAGATTCAAGCCTCTTTTAGTTTTACCGGCATAATGAAAACTTTCAACCGTTAACCTCCTTATCTGAATATGTCGTTGGTGTCCCTTTTAGGCCCGTTGACCTCCTTATCCAGAGGTGTCGTCGTTGTTGTTCCCCCTTTTAGGCGCCAATCTCGTTCGTGACCTCGACAAACTTCTCCCACTGCTTCCAGGCCTCGCCGCTCTTGAGAGCCCAGCGAGCCCTTCTGACGCCCTCCTTCCAGCGCTGCCCACCAGGGCCTCGCTCCTTGATGACCTGGCCGTCGTCGCCAGGCCCCATGTTGCTGGTGTCGGCCTCACAGATGCCCGAAGTCACCAGCAAGGCCGCAGTGTTGATCAGGATGAACTCGAGGAGTGGAGCATCATCCGGCAACTCGTCATGCAGGATCTTGGAGAGAATCTCTGCATTCTCTTCGGGCTCCTTGCCTCCTGACACTGTGTCCAAGGAGTGGGTGCTCAGGCCAAAGTCGCTGGGATGCACCTTGAAGTGCTCAACTTCGAGCTTGCCCTCGCTCGTCTCCTTGACCATCCAGCAAAGAGTGTTGCCAGCGCAGCTGACCTCGTCGAGCTCCTCCTCACCGCAGATGATGAGGGCTTTTTTGAAGCCGGCCATGCACAATGCCTCCGCAAAGGCTGGTCCAAGGTCTCTTCGGCCGACGCCAATGACGCGAGCCTCGAGAACATCTTCGACGGGGTTAGCCAGGGGCCCAAGGTTGTTGAAGACGGTCCTCCAGGGGAGCTGCTTGCGAACAGGCGCGACATAACGCATGCCCGTGTGGAACACTGGGGCGAACAGGAAGGTGTAGTTGGTGGCCGAGTACGCCTTGACCAGTGTGTCTGGTCGGACGGCGCTGATGATGGGAGGCTTGGGCTGCATGCAGTTGACTAGGTCGGCGCTGCCAGACTTGGATGTGCTGGCCTTGTTTCCATGCTTGGACACCATGAGAAGTGCCGAGGCAAGGATGGAAGACGTGGTGCTGATGTTGAAAGTGTTGTGACCGTCACCACCAGTCCCAACAATGTCACACTGTTAACAGGTCAATATTAGAGAATGGGAGCGGTGCATGCAAACCTCACCAGACCACCTCTGTAGTTGCCTTCCTTTCTCCCCCTTCGCTCAATGACTTCCAGGAGTTGCTCGACGGGGATAGGGGCAGCCGCTTGGCGCATGACACGGGCACACTCGGCCAGGACATCAGCCCTGAAGTCCAGCCTTGTGAAGTGCAGGGCCATGAGGAGCGAGGCCGTCTGCGCCTCTGTCACCTGGTTGGTGAAGAAGTGCGAGATGGCCTCGGCAATCTCCTGCGGACTGACATTGTTGTCGGTAGGCCAGAGCTTGGTCAGAAGCGGCTTGATGTTGACGGGCGGGAGGGCCTCTTGTGCTTGAGAAGCCATGATTTCTGAGCAATGATGAGATAGGAAGCCGCTGGAAGTAGAGCGAAGGTGCTAGATGGTGAACTGGGAGATGAGGCGAACCACAGGGAAACTATATAGAAGTTGTACTCCTACACTTTCTTTGTTAAACCTCTGACTCTACCTTTCGAGATGCTATTGACTCAGTCTTTGTTTGAGGGTACGTACCTGTTTGCGGAGTGGTTCATATGCCCTGGATGATTGGCCGACCTCGGACAACAATATTAAGCCACCGGGAGACAACAATCAGTATCAGAATTGGTGAAGGGGTCAAGGTTCAGTGAGATTAGTAACGGGATGTCAAATGGTTACTAAATTTCAAAGACTTGATACTCTGCACTGTGTTTGTTATTGTGGTGTTGTCGTTTCGAATTTGCCGTTTTCATTGAATGAGGCTGGAGAATCTCATGGAAAGGGAAAGTTGCTGGTGTTAGCAAGGAGTACCTGAAAGAAGACAATTTCACCCTCAAAATGCTCCAAAAACAGGTATTCCCCGCTAGCTTATCTAACCACCAGTCCCTGACAGCGGGAGCTTAACAAGTGGGGTGTAAACACCCAAGATAACAAAAGTCAATTTTCAATGTATATGCTCAAATAATTTCGAAGCGTCTCGGGGATTCTGCCTCATTATTGTCAAGCCATTGAATCGCTTTATCAAGGCTGTCTTGCTTTTCAATCACTTTCAACCATCTCACTGGTTCGGAGTAACCGTGAGGCACGTGAGGCTGCCTAGCACCGCCGCAGTGAATCACTGCGCCTGCTTGGGCTTTCTTCCAGCTTAGTCATCACATTGGAGGTTCATTTGGCCTCCTCTCACCTCTTTGAGGCAGCAATTCATCATAACCTCAACAACAACCTCAGGAACCTCTGAACCTCCGCACTTCAGCGATCCTCTGACCCTAAAACACAATACACAAGTCTCAAGCGGCGGAGCGACACGTCTCCAACATGGTACCGCCTGGCAGCGGCGATACGAAAGAGGAGGCGTTCCAAGAAGATTTGAACAACATCCTGTGCTGCCCCGACTGCAGAGAGATCCCGCCAAACCTGATCGAGGAGTTCTCCAGTGGTGATGTTGTGTGCGAGAGCTGCGGCGTCGTAGTCGGAACCCGGATCATCGACACGCGCTCAGAATGGCGTACCTTTGCCAACGACGACCAGGGCGGCGACGACCCCAGCCGTGTTGGTGGACCGCAGGACGAGTTCGTTGAGGGCCAGCAGCTCGCGACCACTGTAGCCTTCTCCGAGTCCAAGGCCCACAAGGCTCTGTCCCGCACCCAGAACAACACCAACCAGGACAAGGCTCAGAAGGGTCTCATGCAGGCCTACAAGGAGATCGTTTCACTGTGCGAAGCTATCAACATGGGCCAGAACGTCTCCAACGCCGCCAAGCACATCTTCAAGCTCGTCGACAAGCACAAGTTCCTCAAGGGCAAGCCCCAGGAGGCCGTCATCGCCGGATGCATCTTCATCGCCTGCCGGCAGAACAACGTGCCTCGAACTTTCCGCGAAATCTTCAACCTGACCAGCGTGAGCAAGAAGGAAGTCGGACGTGTGTTCAAGCAGCTGCAGTCCTTCCTGCAGAAGCTGCAGGGACAGGATGGCGAGGCTACAGGCCTCAACGCCGTCACAAACTACGAGAACACATCCGTGGGCGCCGAGGATCTCTGTGGCCGTTACGTGTCTCAGCTTGGATTCAAGAACCAGCAGAAGATCTCCAAGATCTCCCGGGATCTGGCTGAGCAGGCCAATGAGATCTCGGCACTCGCAGGCCGATCACCCCTGTCAGTCGCCGCAGCATGCATCTACATGGCATGCCATCTCGTGGGAGAGCCACGCCCGTCTCTCCCCATCGCCAAGCAGGCTGGTGTCAGCGACGGCACCGTCAAGACTGCTTACAAGCACCTATTCGCTGCTCGGGAGCAGCTCATCAAGAAGGAGTGGCTCGAAGCCGGCGGCAGCATGGACAACATCCCCCAGGTTCAGGTTTAAGAACTGCGGGTGAAGAAATTGGGCATTGCGATTGTTTATAAGACGTGTTTACAAAGCGATAACGGAACAGACCAAAGATTGTCTTTTCTCTTTATATTAATACATGATTTTAGCGCGTCTCTCTCCTATGTGTTGATTTGTCCCTGGTTGTCATTGGATTCTCACGCTTATTCTCGAAAGGGCATTGTGTCGTGTGTGACGATAGCATCAGTGAGGGAACTTCTCAAGGCCTAGTGCCAACAGGACCGAGTTTGATAGTATGACTAGTCAATACAGAATACTCATTTATTCAAAATGATGATGGTGACTTCACTGTTGGCAATCCGTGGGGTTCCCACGAGTGAAATAGTTGAAGAATATGGACATGTCACAAAACACTTGCTATTGACCCCCAACTGGGACATCCTAATCAGATTCTTACTGACACCTTCCGTTTCTTGTTGTCATATCATTAAAATCTCAAAGCAAGTGAAAAGTGATCTCAGACAGAGTCAAGTGGATTGTGGCTACGTATTGACGGCCCCTCATGCATGTGCTTAGGTGCAGGCGAACCATACATCGAGTGTGTCAAATGGCTGCATAGGGAACCGAGTTGGTGTGTTGAATATTCGCTCTCGAGTTGTATAGCCATTGCATGTATTTCGTGACTTTTATTGAATTCAAACAGTTCATTCGTTGTCAGAAGCCTTTGTGTTCAGCCTGGTGTTGGTACCTCAACAGAGAGCCCAGCCGAGTAGAGTGATGACTATATTGTTTGTAATCGAATGTATTAAACACTCGTTCGACAGCCTGCCTACCTTGATGTGAGATATCGTATGCCGAATATGAACGGCCCGGATGTCTCACACGATATTTACCCACAGATATGTGTGTCAATGACACTGTGGATATGTTTAATGATGATCACTCACAATATACCCTCCAATCTTGTGCCAACCGCAGAGACAGAGACATGAGTGTAACTTTGTATCTTTACTACGTACGTCGCAGCCGGGGTTGGTTTGCAACACAATAACCTCGCAAAGCTCGTTCTGCACTGCCAGGTCCCTTCGTTCTGCCTACTGCATCACACCCTTGCCGCGCTGGGCAGTCCCGTGGGGCAGACCCCCATCACGATGCGGATACCAAGCTGCAGCAGGGCCCAGGTCTAATTGCAACCGTCGTAGCCGATGGGACGTCGTCGATGGTCTCGGAGGCCCGAAAGGAGGCATATGCACCTGGGCACGCACATCTGACAGGAGAGAGGTCCAGAGTCAGAGCTTGGTAGAGAAGCCGGGCGCAGAAGGAGAGTCGGCATCGACGCTACGGCATGTCTAGGAGGGAGGCGTCTTCGCTTATCATTCGATCGGCTGCCGGGGGTGCGTGCTGCAGGTCATGTCTGAAGACCGAGTTGAGTTTCTCTTACAAAATGCTCAGTAGGCGCTGACGGGACGGCGCTTGCTCGCTCGCTGTCTCCATCGTGAACGGGCGACATAGAGAGCCGTGTTACGATGGGGGTCCGGCGGGCAACGGGCGCTTGGAAGGTTCCATCCTAGCCAAGACTGAGGAGATGGCGAATTGGCAGTCAAAGTGTCTGACCCGCGAATAAGAGTCGCGACATTTGACGTTGGGGCCATCTGCG